ATTTCCGTTTTGCCGCGATTTTCCTTTGCGTCGCGTCGCTTTGCGTCTCGTATGGCAGCCACTTCCGTTTCTAATTGGAATAAAAACAACGACGCCGACGACGACGACGACGACGCCCAATGAAAGTCGTATTTTATGAATGAGCCACTCGAACTGCAAGAATTTCACGCACGCTTCAGCGCGCCGGCAGATGGGTCTAGTATTTGGTGTGGCAAAGGGGCAGATCTGAGGCACAATAGGTGTTGTCTTACCTTGCCTGCCCATCGACCAAAAGGACACACTTGGCTAAGCATAACGAAATATTTTTTAAGCGTACAAAAGCCAAACAAAACACGACACAAACGTTGCGCATAGTTCAAAAGCATACTAAAGTTGTTGCCATTTGTATCTGTATCTAAATTTTGCATATGTATCTAAAGTTTTATATTTATGTTTCTCTCTCTTTCACTTTGGTTTCAGATGGTTTCTCCAGTTTTCGCCAAGCATTTCCGGAGTGGTGTGAGGATGATAACCAGGCGCACAACAAAGAAATGGAATCTAGTCGCAATGCACAGGCCGATCAACTGATGGGTCTTAGGTAAGTTTCAACTAGAGAATGGGCTAGATATCATTTGCATTTGCATCATTTATTATTCTGGCCATAAACATATCCTAAACAATGTTTAATGATACAAACAATATTCATTAAATAAAGGTTTAAAATCGCCCTTCTCTGCGATTCTCAACAGTTCAAGCAATGCCTATGTAGCAAGTGGTACAGAAGAGAAACTAACTAATAATAAACTTGAAATTGTTTTCAGATCGCTACGCATTTCCACGCCACATTCCGATTCGGCGTGCAGCAGCTCGGCCGAATCCTCGGACTGTGAGAGCACCACACATCATCATCATCATCACCATCATAATTTCAATGAAGCGCCCGTGGAGATAATACCCGGTCTCTTTCTAGGCAATGCCTCCCACAGCTGCGATTCGAATGCTTTGCAAAAGTACAATATTAAGGTAGGTTCACCAAATTTCATCAGCTCTAACATTTTAAGTAATTTTGATTTGCGTTTCAGTACGTGTTGAATGTGACACCAGATTTGCCGAATGAGTTTGAGGAATCGGGCATTATCAAGTATCTGCAAATACCCATAACCGATCACTATTCCCAGGATCTGGCCATGCATTTTCCAGCTGCCATACATTTTATAGGTGCGTACATAAATATGCATAAATTTTATGATTTGCTTATGCATATGATTCCCAACTTGTTTACAGAGGAAGCGCGCTCTGCTAATTCGGCGGTGCTGGTCCACTGCCTGGCGGGTGTCTCACGCTCCGTAACGGTGACGCTCGCCTATTTGATGCACACGAGGGCGCTCAGTCTGAACGATGCCTTCATGCTGGTTCGCGCCCGCAAGCCGGACGTCTCGCCGAATTTCCATTTCATGCAGCAGCTGCAGTCCTTTGAGAGCCAGCTCCGTCTGAGTCCCTGCGATGGCCAGGCCATGGATGAGGGCGGCAGCGTCAATATCATTGGACCAACCGCTGGCTGCTCTTCGGCCACGGCGCTGACTGCCAATCCCAGCCTGGTTGCACGCTGCGGTCGTGGCTCAAAGTTCTCATGCAATTGCATTGCACCCGACTGCAAGTGCATGCAAACGGGTGGCTTTATAGCCGCGCATCTGGCCAAGGCGACCGGCGTCTCGCCCGATTCGGGCATTGAGTTCGATCGCTGGACGCCATCGTCGGATACGGGTCTCAAATGAGATCAGTGTGTGGGAAAGAGTTTTGTTCTGCCGCCCAGTCAATGTCAGGATTCAACAACAACAGCATTTGCGGTGGCGGCCAGCTCGCCGCCACCCATGGCCCTGACATCCAGCAATGCGGACAACATGTCACCAGCCAGCACCACCAGTTCATCCACCTCGACTACAACCACAGCCGAGGCTGTTTCAGTTGTTGAGCTGGTGCCTGCCAGCGCTGTGGATTCCAACAGCGAGTAGCCGTAGTTTCTGGATGCGGACAAGTAGAAGCAAAACTCATTTTCCTACTTTGGTTGTCGAATACACACAGACCTAATAAACAAAAGAAACACACACACTTATCTATGAAAAATAAAATATAATATAATTATAATAATAATAATATATAATTTCTAGTTAATTTTGTAAGTCTAACAAAAAAGAAAAACAGAAAGAAAGAAAACAAAACAAATACAAAAATGTTGAAAAGCTACAAAAATATGAAGAAAACGAAAAGATTTGAAAATCATTCACACTAAAAGAACATATATAAAATATATTTATATATAATGTATACATACTTATAAATATATAAAAAAAAAACCTTATGTACATGTTTGTATTTAACTCGTAAGCCAAGTCAAAACAAGTTGAATATAAAAGAAAAAAAAATAACTTAATCATAATAAAAAGAAAAACACGAAACGCGTTATTTATAAAGTTTAAACTTAAACAACAACAAAAATCTGTTTTTATGCGCATGGCTTTTTTTTTAATTTTACTAAAACCAACGTTTATAAATTACATAAATGTATAATTGTTATATACACGTAAATAAGAATACAATTTATAAAATATATTCTCTAATACAAATACGGGAAGCCAGTTTGAATGTTACAAAAAAAAAAAAAACAAACATTTGAATTTGGCAATGAATCGAAAAACTGCAAGCAAAAAATTAAACACTAAAATGAGAAATAAACTAAAAAGAAAACAAATATTTTTTTTTGCTAAAAGCAACAAATACCAACAACAGCAATAAAAAAATAATAGCAGCAACTTATTGTTGTTGGGCTTGGTTATTTTTGCTAAGGTTTTAGAGGCGGGATTTGGCAGCCCTCCAACCAAAAAATAAAATTAACCGAATTAAAATAAGCTAGTTTTGAACTAGTTTTTAAGTGTTTTTAAACAAAACAACAAATTGAAAATGATATTCTAAATACGCTGAAATGTGCAAAAGTCGAAGAACGAACTCAGAAGTCGCAAGGCAAAGGATTCTTATGTGCATGAACTATATGCTAGCTATATATATGCCTATATAGCTAGTTATATGCAGTCTGGCAATGTTGGTACAAAATATGATCAGGTGGCGTCAACGCGAAGAACGGTTTACAAACATAATCCATAACATAAATAAATATTTATATATTACGAACAATAAATATACACAAAGAAAAGAAAAAGATGGAAAAGAAAAAAAAAAGAAACAGAAGTATTTCGAGTAAAAAGGCTGTGCGCAAAATATAAAACAAGACACAACACATATAAAATATATATGCGATTTTAAAGGAAACAAATCCATTAAACTAAATGCAAATGAAACGAACAACTTTTTGCATATATGACAAAAGATAGAGAATACAACTAAAGTTCGGCCTATGCCGAGGCAGGTTTTTGTTACGTATAATTGGGTAATTGAAATTGAAACGATTGCGTACATGTTTGAAATGCCGAAAGAAACGTAAGAAATACGATGTTTGTACAGAATTTCTTAAAATTAAAATGCGCATCAATTGGCAAAAGAAAAAATAAAATGTAAAGTATTGGTAAGTTTGAGAATCTGGCGAGCTAGAAACACCTCGAATCTGTTAGAGTTAATTCGCTGGCAGGCTTTTATGTCTTTTATGTTAAAGAGCTGTTAAATTGCTAACAGAGCAAAGACAAGGCATTATATGAAATACAGTTTGATTGTAAAAGAACTATTTGAATTATACTATTGATTGTATGCTGGAGATCTATAGATCTGTAGATCTATATTCACTTGGCAGATTCCTTAAAAAGTTCATGACAAAACAGGCTGATATTTAAATTAAAGAAAGTGAAGTCCTTAAATGGAGCTTGTAAAGGCAGCTAAAACGGAAAGAGTTCCTCCACTGTAAGTTGAAAGAGTGCACATAGTTTGCCGTATATAGCATACGATATTGGGACATAAACCAATTTAATAATGAAATTTGCAATAATTTTTAAGCGCAATCCAAGCCATTTAATTGTTGAATGCCTCAGTCAGTAAATAAATAACAAAAAAAAAAAAAAAAACAATGGCAAAAGAAAAACCTTAAACAATTTTAAAAATACATTTTAAAGTCCCAAAAGGATATTTTCGTGTGTCGACAATTTTGCAAAGTTAATAATTATTGATAAATATAATTAAATGTTTGCTGATTTAAACGGCACTCACGATAAATAAATACAAATATTAAAAAAAAATAAAAAAAATGATATATGCGACAAACATATAAAATCGAAATTGGCTGCCAGGCAGCGCGTTTGTTAATGAGTCCTCCAAAAGTTTGAGGACTTTTACAGCTGAGCGAGAGTTAGTTTTTAAAGTTATAAAAACACACACAATTTTACATATTGTACATCTGAGTGTTGAATTTTTCATCAATGTTTAGTATTTTGCGACAGTGCCAACATTTTAAAACAAATAACTATAAAAATCAATTCAAACTGTACCTTGAAAATGTCCAAAAACAAAAACAAAAAACGAAAACAAAAAAAGTTATTTAAATTATAAATTTAAACGCAATATGGCGAAAATACATTTCGTACATTTGTTGTAGTACAAGAGCACAAACTATGAGTAAATGCCCGATAAATAGTCGAACAATAAATACGAAAGTCTCCACGTAATTAACCAAGAATCAAATCGAAAATAATCTAACTAGTTGTGTTTTGCACATTTTGTAAATTTTACAACACAATCCAGTAAAAAAACAAAACAACAAAAGAATCCGCGAAAATTTGCTAATTACAATATATATATATATGGGGATATATACATATATATATATCTTTATCTATATATACACCATATACCTAATAAAACCGTTTATAAGCCCACAGCTCAAGCGATGTTTTAATCAATTTCTATTTAAATTTATTTCGTAATCGACTTTTAATTTGTTCAACATTTAATATTTAAGGTATTTGCAATGGCTTTTATTTGTTTTCGAATGATATATATATATATATTATAATACTATCATATAAAGTGAGTAGAACATCATGTAGAAAATGATTTATGCAAATTACACATTCATACAAATTCACACTGTCAAAATACATAGAATTTTGAAACGAACAGGAAACTCATGATATGATGTGACATAGAACAAGGAACAATACGTTGCGCGTTTCTGTAAATGCACAAAACGATGATGACAAGCTAAAATTAACATTTTATTGTCTAAGCGTCGAGCTGGCCTATTGCCAAATCCATTTTACAGGCCCTTGTTGAAGTACACACGATTGGGCACCTTGTCTCCAGTACGCTTGACCATATCCTTATAGAGTTCCGGCTCAAAGGTGCGCATTGTGGAGGTGTCCAGACTGCATTGTTGCGGGAAAATCGCACAGGCCGTGGGCACCATGAAACAGAGGCTGCAATTGATAAAGCAACATTAGTTTCCGCAACTTTAATTGAGGGCATGTCGTGCGAGTCACTTACAAGCAGCCCACCATGAGCGTTTGGAAGGGTGCATTGATCCATTTGATGCGCCTGTATGCGGGCAACTTCTCCAGTCGCTGCATAATGACGGGCAGCAACAACATGCCCGGCGCTGCCATTGTGATTCTCGATATGGTCACCTCGCTGATGCCTTTAATGGCAGCCAGTCGACTCTGGCCGACAACCTCGCCGTCGGCATTCTTCACCTCAATGCCATTGATGATCTCGTTCTGGCGCATAAAGGGTATATTGACACAGTTCGCTGCCGCCACAGCCGCAAAAGGCACATACCGCTGCAGAAACGGCGACGCATTCTTCGACCAGTAATTCTTGCATCCAATGGCGGCAACTAATGCCGCGGTCGTGGCCGACACAAAGGACAGGCCCAGCTGCGTAACACTGGTGGGCGAGTTGGCATTACGATTCGTATAGTTGACGACCGCATTGAAGGACTGATTGAGAAACTGCCAGAGCACCACGGCGGATACGGTGCGATAGAAGGCCAACATGCCGCCCGTAATCAGCATGCCACCGGGTACCTAAACAATGAAAACACATCACAGCATCAGTTGGCCAAGAAACTTGCACAAATGACGTCAGCATTTGGCTATATATAACGCTAGAGAGTGCGACTGCAGCTGACTGTCACGCGACTTGCCTGAAAACTCATCCGGCCGGCAAAGTTCTGCAGCTCCCCTGTATCCGGATGGAATGCCGAATAATACAGCTTCAGATTGTATTTAACTTCTTCGGGTTTCAGATTCTCCTTCTGTTTGCCAGCCCGATAGTTGTCCACCATTTGCTTGGCCTGCAGCAGGCGCTCGTTGGACACGACCACCGTGCGCGGATCCGTCATCCAGGCATAGTACTTAAAGCGACCCGTAAACGTCTGCAGATCGAACAACCGGTTCACATCGATAATTGCTGCAATAGGAAAGTGTTTACAAAAGCGGTTGAAGGTAATTTTCTTTACAAAAAAACTCACATAATTTCTCCGACATGTTGTTTGGCCTTTTGAACTGCGTCGGATTTCTTTCAGTTACGTAACAATTTGATGCCCCAATTAAGGCTGTTATCCTATCTATATAGCTGCCGGCGAGAATACACTTGAGTTGTGTGTACTTAGGGCCGAGTCTTTGTGTCAGTGCGATTAATTCCGAGCAGGTGTTACGTTCTCACCTGGCTGCTCGAATTTATGCCGTCTAATGCAGTTCAATGCTGCAGTTGTTGTTGTTTTGGCGCAGCTCCAATAAGTCACATAAATGTTGTTGTAGACGGCCAGCCGTTTGGCAACGAGATTGCGCATCTGGTGGACATTACACAATTGAGTAATTGCTCAGCTTCAATTTTGTTATATATATGTATGTATGTATCTCTATATATATACGCGCGCGCACACACACACACACACACACACACCCTTAATTCGCAGTCGCAATTTATTTTATTTGTATTGTATTATTTTTATTAACTCTTTATCCAACGGTTAGCCGGATAGTTATCGATAATCTGCAATCGCGTCGTTTTAAATAATAGCATTTTCTAACGGCTGGTGATATTTATACCATCTGACAGTTAATCAATTGTTTTGTATTTATATCATCTGCTTTATTTGGCAAGCTATGCATACATTTGCACAAATACAGGCACCTTTTTTATATTGTGATTCAACTGCCATGCACAACAAATGTTTTGTTTCCAGATAAAAGGCTTAAAATTAGCAACACCGAATCAGCTGTGCGTATAGAGAATTTAATTATCGATTCATTGTTTGCCTATTTTTATATCGATTACGCATGATTTTGCCATTCACATGTTGCAGCCGCAAAGCGTCTCTGCAGCCCTGGCGCAATCGTGTTCATATTGTTGTTGTTGCCGTTCTTTTCACTTTCGTTGCGCATTTTGTACACAAATTTCGTGCTATTTAATAAATTTGCATTAATTAACGAAGCGCTTAAGCGCAATGTAGGGTTGTGTAAGATTAAAGTGCAAGCGTAGCAAAAATGAAGTCTAGTTGCAGCGGCAGCAGATAATAATAGCATCTAGGCAGCGGCACAACGCAAAGTAAGGAAGTGGCTGCAAACCGGAAAATAGAAACTGGTCCGGGGCCGAGGACACAGAGGTTCATTGCACTTCGAGATGCGTATGCTGCAGCTTTTGTCGCTTTGGCTGCTTTGCAGTCATGCAACAGGCGCCAATATCCTGGCCGTGCTGCCCAGCGTCTGGAGATCACATTATCTATTCGGACGTCGTTTGATGCAGCAACTGGTGGCAGGCCCGCAGAACCACTCGGTAACGCTGATTAGCCCGCATGCAAGGGGCGAGGCTGATGTGGCGGCACCGCTCTACAAAATACGTGAGATACGCATCGAGGATCAGGATCTCATGCAGAACTGGCTGGACATGGGCATGAGCTTCGAGGCGGAACAGATGCACGCCCAAAGCGTCATGGAGCGCTTTACCCGTATGATCTATGCGGGCACCACAAATGTGGATCTCCTGCTATCGGATGCACAGGTGCAGAAACTGCTCACCAGCGGCGAAAAATTCGATTTGCTAATTGTGGACTTGTTTTTAAGTGATGCATTGCTTGGGTAAGTTAACAGCAGATCAGGAGCATATCGTACGGCGGAGAGAGTTTAATCTTTACCGTTCTTTTAGTTTTGCCTATTACTATGGTGTGCCCACCGTCGCCATCAGTCCCACCGGTGCCAATTCGTGGCTCAACAACATGTTTGGCAATCCCCAATCGGCCTCCCTTGACCCGAGCAACTTTTTACCCTTTACGGAGCGCATGAGTACTCGGCAGCGCATTGCAAACACACTGATGAGCACCTTTGAGCGCCTGACCTACAAGTGAGTGGACGATTTTACCTATTTAAAATCAGAACTCATATCCTTAATTTTCTTCCAGCTTTTTCCATCTGATCTCACAGCAATCGGTTTACTCCAGTCACTTTGAGGTGCTGGTGAATGAACTACCGAATTATCGCGATTTGAGCAAGAATTTGAGCCTCGCACTGATCAACTCCCATCCCGCCATGGATTACCCTCGCGCCTACTTGCCAAACATGCTAGAAGTGGGCGGACTACATTTGCGGGATCCCCAACAGCTACAAGTGCCAAATGTAATTAAATTTGTTTTAAGAGAGCGTTTCGAAACTAATCCCAGTTTCTATTTAGCATGTGCGTTCCTTTATGGAGGCCGCGCCTGGCGGCGTCATTTATATGAGCTTGGGTGCTGAAGTGCAAACAGCTCAGTTGCCCAGCGAGAAGTTGTCCACATTTCTGGACGTCTTTACGCATCTCAGGGAATTTCATTTTCTGCTTAAATGGGAGACTGAAGAGTTTATACAGCCGCTGCCCGATAATATGATGATAAACAGCTGGTGGCCACAGGAGGCTATACTGGGTAAGCTTAACCTTTTTATAGTCTTGTAATTTTGTCTCGAAGAACTCTTTGAATCTAAAAAAGCATATTCTGGTTCAGTATGAACAGCCTAGTCGGTCCGTCTGTTTCTATGCAAACCAATTTCTCAGTTTTAATGGGCAGACAGAACACAAATGATATCAAAGAAGTTAGATGTCAACAATTAGGTTCTTGTACAACAAGTTTTTTAGTTGTTTAAGAGAATTTGATAAAATTTTGCATTTGCGAACTTCACCCGAAGACACTTTGGATTGGATTATGGTGTAGAACTTGGAGAGGAAATAAGTGCGGTTTTATGCGGCTTTTTATGGTCTCTGAAACAAACCCTTGGACTATACAAAAACAGCCTGATAATCCAGGGTGCTCAGTTTACCCAGAAATCAGGTCATATTTCTTATGAACATGGGATCCACGGTCGATTCTGTTAATACCCGGAGTTCAGACTATGCTCCTTCCATATGACGAAAAACTCATCAATGGACTGTATCATATAGCTATATATAAGGATTGTCGATAAATGGTTGTTTTATAAGGATACCTGTTGGATGCTCAGCAGCTTTTTACGAGCTACACTAGTCCCTCAACATATCTGCAAACCCGCATCAAATTGGACCTCCATATAACACGGCTGTAATAGGAAGGATCGGACGGAAATCAGCTTTTGTTTTTCTACAAGGATCTTTAATCTTCATGTTACATATGATGTCATCTCTTGAACTTATTTGCCTTGCAGCGCATCCGCAGGTCAAGCTATTTATCAGCAGCTGCGGCCAGCTGAGCGTTTGGGAGTCGATTGCGGGTGATACGCCCATACTTGCCATACCCATATTGGCCGAGCAGGAGGTGCTGGCCAAGCGGCTGCAGCAGAAGGGCGCAGCGCTAACGGTCGACTACGATGCTATTGCTTATGATGCACTGCTTCACAGCATCAGGCAACTAACGCTCAATTCGAGCTATGTGCAGCATGTGGCCAGGCTGAAGGCGCGCTTAAACGTAGGCAACTCGGATGCTTCAGCCAGAGCGCTCGGCTACATTGAACTGGTATTGGGCACTGGAGGCGCGGATTTTCTCAAATCGCACGCAAACTCTCTCAACTTTTGGCGTGCCGAGGGCTTGGATGTACTATTGCTGATTGGGCTAGGCATTTTTGGCATACTGACGGTACCGTTCGTGGCCACTTGCTGTATACTGCGCAGATCCTACTACAGCCAGGCGGCGCAGGATCAACAGCAGCAACCGTATCGCACCACGCTCAAGGCCGTGGGTCGTATGCACAGCTACGGGGATCCCAGTAGCTGCACAACTCCCGGCACATCGGAGCCGTTGCGGAGGACGCGTTCGGCTCAATCGCTATCAGCACGCTCCAGCTGCTCCAGCTTTAGTTCGGCAACACCGTCAAGCAATACGTCGAGCAATTCGACAACCCCGCTCGATCTGACACCACCGCCGCCGTCGGCCACAGTCGTGCCGTCCCTGCAGCTGTACGTCAACCAGGGAGTTTATGCAACACAAAAGACATCACACGATGACCGGATGGAACCAGCGTTTTTATAGCCATGTGTATAGTTATTAGCATGGCATAACGATATATCTCTAGACTTCACACCTTACCACTATACAGACATATTTACTTATATATATGTATGCATATATAAGAAAGATATGTATTTGTCTAATATCTCGTATATCTATTAATTTAAGCATGATTTTATGTATCTATATTGGGTTGTGTTCCCAGATATTGTTTTTATGTTAGATTACAAAATTAGTTCACTTACTTAGAACGTAGCCGTGATACGACTTTAGAAATTATTTTGTGTGTTTTTAAGGTATTAAGTGTATGGTCCGACTATGTTTAACAACAGTTTAAACTAACGTTGTTACTTATTTTCTTATTGGTATGATTCTTAATGCAATTACAAATCGTTTAACGAAATTGTAGTTGATCGATCAAGGCCACGGGGAGGGAGAGGGAAAAGGATCAAAGGTTTACTAAATTGAAATATTTGTAATCATTTTGGCTGAGCGATATTGTATATTTTCTTTATAATTTTATAACTTAAGCTGGCTTCAAAATATTATATATATTTGCAAATGAAATGAACATGGTGTATGTTCGATTTTTAAGTGGGGAAATTTCTTGATAAACTTCGATTGTAAACAGTTTGTTTTATATTTAATCTTTTATTGAATATTTAAATATTTATGTTCCTGTTAAAATTGCTGACAGGAGGTTTAAATTTGGTTTCTGATTCCTAGCAGGAAACATTCTGGCAACGCTGCGCCGCCAAGTAGGCAACGGCTTTTCATAAAATTGTCACTTCTATTTTGGTAGGGCAACTCTGTAACTAGTTCCTCAATTTGATAGGTCAGATTCTATTAAACTTTGCTTCAACGAATTCAGTTTAAAGGCGTGTTCAAGCTTATTTTCGATTTTCGTTCTGATCATTATTTTCCTTATTTTGGTTTCAATCAATATCTACTTGTTTTCGGAAGTGTTTTCCTTGCATTGTTGGAAAGAAAAGTAATTGAGAAAATAAAACAAATTGAATTATTTGAATATTCAAGGTATTGAAATCTATTCATGAATGTAAATGCGAGATAGGTTTAGTAAAAATGTACAACAAGCATTTTAGAACATTCTGCTCGATTTTGGCAATTTCCTGGAGCACGAGCAACAATTAATTATAAAAAGCCCATTAAAAACGAATAACTTTTATAGGTAGCACCTTGATTTGGCGTATAAAACGAAATTAACATTATTGTTCCCTTTAATTGTTTTTTTTTTCTGTGTTAACTTTTGTTATTTCTCTTGTGCAACAAAGCAGAAAAAAACCACACCCAGCGGATATTATTAAAACAAAAAAAAAAAAAGGAAAGACAAAACAGTTTTTTGTAGCATTCAAGTGTGAGTAACAGTTAATGTTAATTATGGGCGGCGATGCCAATGGAGGCGTGTCTAATTAGCTGCCACAGCGGCGGCGGCGTCTGTCGGCCCGCTTTGATGTGCATGACGGCGTGTGCACTTCATTTAAGCCGAGTGCGCCTCAAGTGTCTCTAAAGGATGTGAATGCCAAGCGATGCGATGCCAAGCGATGCGATGCGCTGCGATTCAACGGATGCAGCCAGCGGGCCCCAACTGGGAACGGGGTGCAAAGGGCTGGCGCTGCGCTGGCACCTGTTTGCATTCAACATTCAAGCCACGCACAGAGATACACACACACACGGTCGTAGAGAGAGAGAGAGAGGTTGCATATGCTGAA